AGAACAGTACACTAGCTGGATATATTCTGGAACCAGAAAGCATGAGAGCAAGTCCCCAAGTCTACTACCGTTCCCTAGACCAGTGGTTCTCAACCTTCCTAATGCCGCGACCCTTTAATACAGTTCCTCATGTTGTGGTGACCCCCAATTTCATTGTTACAAATTGAACATAATTAAAGCATAGTGATTAATCACAAAACAATACGTAATTATATTTGTGTTTTCCGATGGTCTTAGGCGACCCCTGTGAAAGGGTCGTTTGACCCCCAAAGGAGCCGCGACCCACAGGTTGAGAACCGCTTCCCTAGACCCTTCCATCCTCCATTCTCCTTGATGAACATCCCAAACACACTCTTGCCTCGGGGCCTTTGCATTTCCTGTTTCCCCGGAGCACTCTTTTCACAGATGTGTACATAAATCACTCCCTTAGTTTCTTTTAACTCTGCTCCAATGCCACCTTATCCGAGAGAATTTCTCTGACTATACTATTTAAAACTTCCCTCCACCTCACTATCAATTTCCTTAACCTGCTTTGTTTTTCTTCTTTCTCACTCCATTACAATGAGCTCCATGAAAGCAGGGACCTAATCTGTTTTGTTTATTGCCTCATATCCAGAGCCTAGATCATGTGTGACACATAGTAAGCATTTTATATACATTTGCTGAACAAAACAAAGGCCAGTTCTTGGTGCTTGTTTTAAGAGGGCTAATGATGAGTTATGATGTGCCCTTAGGAAATCCATTAAGGTCTAGATACCTTTCAGTTAGGGGTTAGATTTGCTCAGTGTGGATCCAGAAGAAAAGAGCAAGACAGATTTTGGCTGAATATAAGGAAGAACCTGATAAGAATTGTAGCTGTCTGAAAAGTACTTGATATTTCTGTAGATGCTTATTCAGATTGTGTGACCACTTTGGGGATAATTATAGAGGACATTTAAGCAGTGTGTACAAATTAGATTATATTACTTCTAAAATCCTTAAAAATGTATGATTTGGCATTGACTCAAAAATTAATAATCAAGTTTGGTTCTTCTGCAAAACGTTGCCAGACAGATTGTATCTATTCTGTTAGCACCTAAAGCAGGGGTTGGCAAAATCTATTTCCTTGGCCAAATTTGGCCCCTCACCTCTTTTTGTAAATAAACTTTATTGGAACACAGCCATGGCCATTTACATATATGTTTATGGCTTCTTTCACATTATAATGGCCCAGTTGAATAGTGACAACCAATACTGTATGGAACACAAAAATCAAAGTATTCACTATGTTGCTCTTTGCAGAGAAAATTGCCAACCTCTATACCCTTAACCAATAAACTATGGAAATATACCTGTATTCAACCTACTCATTTCCTCCTCTTCCTTCTTCATCATTATTGATTGTTGTATGTGTCAGTAAAGATCCAACCATAATAATAGAGGTCATTCTGAATATTTAAATAGAGGGAATTTAATGCACATACTTGGTTACTTGGCAATTGAAGAGGCTTGCAGCCCATAGATCAGGGTCAGCAGCAAGATGCCACCACTCCTACCAGAAAGATCCAGGAAGGAGGTAGTTTTATCAGAGTCCAGAAGCTGGAAGCATAGCATGGGGTGGAGGTGTGGGGCTTTTGTTTCCTGAAGTGAGGGCCGCAGAATGATTCTGTGCCTGCGTAAGGCGCTTTCTGAGGTGGAGAGGAAATGAGAGAAGTGCCCTGGCTTCTCCCACGCGTGCCTTTCATTGCCTGCACCTAACCAGAAGTCAGCTGGCACAGAAGCCTGGGATGTGGAGCTTGCAGAGTGTGTTCCCCTGATATAGAGAGCAGAGCAGGAACGATGAGGGATGGTCGATGGATGCCTGACCCCAAACCAGCACTGCTGCCAGTAGTTATTCAGAGCTACCATGTGCCAAGTACAGAGCTAGACATTTTACATGCATCTTCAACTAGGAGATAAATACTAGTTTATAGATGAGGGTTGGAAAATGAATTACATTGCTCAAGGCCATGAATTAAACAAATGACAAAGTTAGAATTGAATCCAGGCTAGTCTTACTCCAAAGTCCTTATTTTATAAGAATTGGCCCTCTTATTCTATAAATGAGGGAAAAAAAGTAGCTTGGAGAAGATAAGAAACTTACAGCTGGAAATGACAAGACTAGGTCCATAGTCCAAGTTACTCCTGTTAGGTCTTTGTGTATCTTAACAGCTAAAGCCTCACACTGTTACTGTAGCATTTAGACAGTGTCCAGAGGAGGTGCCACTCAGATGAGGGAGGTGTCCTTGCATCCTGAAGCTATTACTAAGCAAACCTTTCTGTACTCAGTGCTCTGTTGTAAAATGGGATTATGAAGGACAACCACCTCATAAGAATGTAGACAGAGATTCAATAGATAATAGATCTTGAGACCTCTGAACAGTGTGCCCCAGAGTAGGTGCTTACTAAATGCTAAGTCTCTGTTGTCATTGTTAATATTTTCATTATGCTGACACTTGGAGTGATTATTCCAGGAAAAGAGTGGATCAAAAATTTTACAAAATATTATCCAAGTGCTTCATGAAACAGCAATATCCTCCTATTGGACCTTGTCTCTTCTAGCTAGGAGTGACATTACAAGATAATTAGGAATAGGATTTTTGTTCTTAAGTGAATGGCCTTCACAATACCTTAGTTTGTTGATTTGAGGCTTTTTTATGTACCAGTGCTTTTCTATGAAATGTTATCTGCTCTCGTGCTTCCATACAGTTTGTTTCATCTAGGATGGCCTTTTTCCAACTAATTCCCAACGTATGACCTTTCCCTTCCTGTCCCCATGGCTTTACTTGGCTTTATTCTTAATAACCCCCCCCCCCACCTCTACCCCAAAAGTCCTTTTGCTTAACCAGCTCAATTCCTACAATATCTTATAATGTTACAAAGATTAAGTTTTCATAATACTTTTATTATAATTATAATACACTCAAGGTTTGCTTCCAGAGGAAAAGTTTCCCTGTGATCAGTCACATGACACATTGATCGTTTGCCTTCATACAGCACCTGCATCATGCCTATAAGTACTGCCTGCAACAGTGCTGTGGTTTGTCTATTTGTATCTTGTTTCTCCAACTAGTTTGAAAGCTGTGAGAACTTTTAGGTAGTTGGTGCTTTACAAATACTTAAGTTTTATGTGAAAAATTGTACCTATAGTTAAAATTATTTGTATTTTTAAAAATTGATAATATTTGCTTAAAAGCTAGCCTTGCTGCATGGCAAGGCCACTGACAACTCCAGTCCTTGTGTGAGGTTCCCTGGAAATGGCTAGGAAAGGAAAGCGGTAGCACACGATGCAGCAAGACACCAGAAGCTTATTTGTCCAGTGTGATGCACTATGTAGCCTACGGTTCATACTTAGTTTGCATTTTTTTGAAAAGACAGGTAAAAATGGTAATTTGGCAAGCAGAATCATTAGGTTTGGCATTGCAGTGTCATATTTTATTTATTTATTTATTTTTTTAAAAATATATTTTATTGATTTTCCACAGAGAGGAAGGGAGGGAGACAGAGAGTCAGAAACATCGATGAGAGAGAGACATCGATCCGCTGCCTCCTGCACATCTCCCACTGGGGATGTGCCCGCAACCCAGGCACATGCCCTTGACCGGAATCAAACCCGGGACCCTTCAGTCCGCAGGCCGACACTCCATCCACTGAGCCAAACCGGTTTCGGCTGCAGTGTCATATTTTAATGTGCAGAAAAATATTTTAAATTCTGGGCCCATAACAGAATGGAGACCTGCTCTCACTATTTCCAGAATCTGAGGCTTTGGACTTGATATGCTAGTAATTTGAACCATAGTATATAGAAAGTAATGGTGACCATGCAAATATTTGCACATTGTGGTCTATTATTTTTGCACATGCTTCTAGGGACTGACATCAGAAAACTATATAAAATACAGTAAATGTAGAGACCCCATGGAAGGTGGTAAAAAGCCTGAAAATGATATCTGAGAGTGTCTGTAACATACTCATTATTTATTCACAATTAATAATTTTGTCTAATGACTTGCTCCATTCTTCCATATTTAAAGTGAGTGTTTCTCGATCAGTAGCTTCAAGTTTTAGGTGCAACAGCTGCAGAACTCTAAAAGATACATCAAATTAGGTCATATTGTTCAAACACTGTGAGATGTTATACTTTAATTCTTTTTGAACTTAAGTATTGAATTTAGGATGGCCCTGTGGTATTCGGCATCTGGACCTAGCTAGATTGGCAAGATTTTCCTCTGTAAAAAAATCCAGGTAGAAGAAGCATTCCAAATTTTAAAAACAAATAATTCTCTCTTCACCTTCCCAACATCCTTCTCTGTCTCCCATTCAACACATGTACATGTTTTGAACCAAATTAGTATTTTATTTTCTGTGATGTTAAAGTTAAAATGTAAATCCTAATAAGTCCACATTCCTTGAATTGGAAGGTGTTTAAACTTGAGGCCTAGCATTTTGCCCATTTCATCCCATGTCTTAAAATATGGTTTTTGTCAGAGCTAGACAGTAAACAGCTATAGTAGTCGGGATCCAAACCACAGTTAATAGTGCTGAATGTCATGTTACAAACCTGCCTCTTGATTCCTTAAAATAAAGAGCTGGGAGTAGCTGTGGCAACTGGATCTCAAACACTGCTACCAAAAAAGATTTTGTGTTTTGATTTCTTCTCCTGGTTTTTATTTGTGCTTATAAGGAGATACCTGATGGATCGATTGCAAAGTGGACTATGACATGCATCTGAGTGTAAAGTTATATGGAAACTGTCTAACACTTCACTTTGTTTAAATGACTTCAGTTATTTCTTCTGTGGCTAAGATTACAATTCAGACACTTCAGTCTGAATACTGGTTGTAAAAGAGTAGAGCATGTTCCAGAGAGTAAGGCAGTGAGCTAATGTGATGGAGTTCAGGCAATTTTAATTTTAGGGACGCTGTCCCTTGGTTTCGGAATTTTTCAACAATCGTACCATTTATGATTTTATTTTATTTTAGCCATGTCCTTTGGGGGCCCGAGATTTTCGAGAGAAACAGTGTGCAGACTTTGACAATATGCCTTTCCGTGGAAATTATTATAACTGGAAACCCTTTACTGGAGGTAATGTATAACCTGGCAGAGCATTCATCATGCTTGAGAGCTTTGCAAACATGAAAGAGTATATAAATAATACAGACACACACATTTCTACACATACTAGTAAAAATTAGTGTTTGTAAATCAAAGCAGGAACATACTTATAATACTATAAAGGTCTCATGTTTTAGTTTCCCTGTAATGAATTTTATGTTAGTACAAATGATCAGAAATCATTTTTTTGAGTTCTTGACTTCTTGAGGTATGTGGACATTACATTATAATCATTTATAATTGCGAAGTATTTAGAGATATCACCCTAAAAACAAATTATAACAATATAAATCAACTTAAAGAGGCCAGGAAAATGTGTTCTTTCTTGAAAAAAGGCTAAGGATCTTACCATAGATTTTTAAAATTCTTTTTTAGTGTTGGGAAACATTTTTGCTCTTTAATTTGGGCATGTATCAAACACCAGTTGTTCAGTAAGCACAAAAAGTTTGCTTACACTCCCAAAATACAAACTAAGTTTTGTTAAAATTTTCTCTTGGAAAGATTGAATGCACATTCAAAATTTTTGCTTGTTTTAACATTTTTGAAAAAATTTCAACATAGAACAATATTGAAATAATTTTACAGTGATGTTTTTATCCACCACCAAGATTCTACCATTAACATTTCAGTATATATTTTTCATTACATGTCTAGTCATCTATCCATTCATCAATCTACGCTTTTTTTTGATGTATTTCAAAGTAAATTATAGTCACTAATATACTTTCCTGTAAGTAATTAAGCATGCATACATCAACAGTTCAGTACTGTTTACTTTTTTCTTTTGAGGTTAGATTATGTACAATGAAATGCACAAATCTTAACTGTACTTTCCCTGAGTTTTAACAAATGCATGCACCTGTAAAACTCTACTGAGATATAGAACATTACTATTACCTCCATAGTCCTTCCCACTCCATAGATGCCTCTACCTGTTTGTTCTAAGAGGCAACTACTGTTATGATTTTTTTTTTTTACCATAGATTAGTTTGCCTATTCCAGAACATCATATAAATGAAATTATGTTATATTTACTCTTTTGTGCAAGGCTTCTTTAAGCCCAATGTTTTTGAAATCCATCTGCATTATTGCATGTACAAGCAGCTCATTCGTTTTTATTGCTAAGCAGTATTATAATCAGTTTGCTTTTCCATTCTGTGACTGATGGATACCTGGGGTGTTTCTAGTTACAGTTGTTATGAATCAACTGCTGTGATTATTTGCATACTCATCTTTTTGTGGGCATATGTTTTCATTTCTCTTGGGTAAATACTTAGGAGTAGAATTGTTGAATAATAGGGTAGGTATGAGTTTAATTAAAAAAAAACCTGCCAGATATTTTTCCAAAGTTATTGTACCATATCACAACTCCCACCAACAATGTGTAAGTTCTGTTTGTTCCATTTCCTTGCCAACATTTGGTGTTTTCAGTCTTCTCCTGGTGGGTGTATAATGATGTTTTACTGTAGCTTTAATTTGCATTTCTTTTAAAAAAAATCTATTTTTATTGATTTCAGAGAGGAAGGGGGAGAGAGAGAGAGATAGAAACATCAATGATAAGAGAGAATTATTGATCGGCTGCCTCCTGCATACCCCCTACTAGGGATTGAGCCCGCAATCTGGGCATGTGCCCTTGGCCGGAATTGAACTCAGGAACCTTCAGTCCGCAGGCTGATGCTCTATCCACTGAACCAAACCCGCTAGGGCTTTAATTTGCATTTCTGATTATTGATTATGTTGAGCACATTTTCATGTGCTTATTGACCATTTATGTATCGTCTTTTGTTAATTGTTCACATTCTTTGCCTATTTTCCAATTGGTATTTTATCTTTTCACTAGAGGCTTGATGCACAAAATTCGTGCAAGGGGCTCGGCCCTCACAGCCCTGTGTTCATTCGGAAGGACATCCGGAAGGTCATTTGGCTATCCAGTCTAATTAGCATATTACACTTTTGTTATTATAGATTCTCTAGTGGTAGTCATTTATCAGATAAGTTTTCGAATATTTTCTCACAGTCTGTGGCTCTCCTGTTACTTTTTAAATGGTATTTTAGATGAGTATAGGATTTTAATTTTGATGAATCCTAATTTTTCAATTTTTTTCTTTTATGGTTATTGTGTTCTGTGTCCTGTTTTAGAAATCTTTGTCTACTTCAACTCTAGATGGTATTTTTTAATCTTTCCTTCTAAGAGCCAGGTTTTTTATCTTTAAATTTAGTTGTACAATCTAAAACAATTTAGGAATATGGTGTGTATTTGTAGTATATTTATGTACTCTATTTTGTTTCATCAATCTATTTGTCAAGTCCATATTAGTACCACACTGACTTAATTATTGTAATTGTATAATCTTGGACACAGGTAGCTTAAGTTCCTCAAACTTTGATCTTTTTTAAAAGAGTTATTTGGATATTCTAAATGCTTTGCATTTCCATATAAGTGACAAAATTTGTTGTTAATTTCTACAGAAAAACATGCTAGGCTTATGCTTGTTATCATGTTGAATCTGTAGATCAACACAGGGAGAAATGACAAATTCAAATATTGAATTTTCCAATTTATGAACATAGTATATATCTCTATGTATTTGTGTCTTTTTTAATGTCTCTAGCTATATTTTGTAGTTTTAGGTATAAGGTCTTGCACATCTTTTGCTAAACCTATTTCTGAGTAATTTATGTGTTTTGACACTATGGTAAATGAAAGTTTTAAAAATTTCATTTTTAATTATTAACTCTAGTGTATAAAAATAAAATTAATTTTTATATATTTTGCGTTCTGTTATTTAGGATTTTCTTGTTAAATAGTCATGTTATTTGGAATAGAGATGGTCTATTTCAATCTTTTTGCCTTTTATTTCATTTTGTCTTAATGCACTGGCTTGGCCCTTCAATACAGTTTGTGCATGTGGAGATTATATGTGATTTTCTTCCTTACTCTCTTAATATGATAAATTACTTGACAGATTTTATAATGTCAAACCAACCTTTTATTCCCAGGATAAACCCTATGTGGTAATGATTTACTATTTTTTATATGTTATTAAATTTAATAGCTAATATTTTATTAAGTATATTTGTGTCTATGTTCATAAGGGAAACTGATTTCTAAATTTTATTTTTGTTATGTCTTTGACAAGTTTTGGTATCAGAGTTACTCTGGCTTCCTGAAATAGAATTCTTATTTATTTTGAAAGAATTTGTAACATTGGTATTATTTTTTCCTTGGAAAAATAGTAAAAGCATGTATGTTTGGTATTTTCTTTGTACAAAAAAATTATTACAAATTCAGCTCCTTTAACAGTTAAAAGAATTATTCAGACTTTTAAATTCTTATGTGAGTTTTCAAATTTGTGTCTTTGATAAGTTTATTGATAAGTTACACCCATGTTGTCCAATTCATTGATAGAAACTTGATCATAACATTCTGTTATTATTCTGTTTAATATCTGTAGGCTCTGGCGTGATGTATGCTCTTTGATTTCTGATATTTATAATATGTATTTCTCTCTTTTACCTGATCAGTCTTACTTGAGACTTATCAATTTTAATTATCTTTTCAGAGAATCGACTTGGCTGTAGCACTTTTCTCTATTACTGTCTTTTTTCTTTTAATTATGGGTTTATTTTGCTCTATTGCATTCCCCAAAGTTGATGTGTTTTTATTTCCTTCATTTCAAAATATTATTCTATTTACATTGTGATTTCTTGTTTACCCATGGGTTATTTAGGTTATTTATAACTGTCATTTTTATTTCTTTTTGTATCCTGCTACTTTATTGAATTCATTGATCAGTTCTAGAGTTTTTTTGGTGGAATTTCCAAATATTTTATATATTCTAGAATTTTTGTTATTAATTTATAGTTTAATTCTAATATGCTTAGAGAATACTCTGCATGATTTAAATTCTTAAAATTAATTGAAATTTGTTTTATGATACAGCTTATTCTCCACGTTGGTGAATATTCTATTTATACTTGAAAAGGATGTGTTTTCTGCAGTTGTTGGATATAGTAGTGTTCTATGGATATCCATGAGGTCAAGTTGGCTAGTGTTATGCAAATATTTTTAATTTTTCTGGATGCTTTTTTTTTCCTGCTCTTGCTCTTCTATAAATTACTGAGAGAAATGTGTTAAAATCTTGAGCTATTATATGACTTTACTTTCTTTTTATAACTTTTTGTTTCATGTATTTTGAATCACTTTTATTAAGTTCATATACATTTGATATTGTTTTATCTTATTGTAAGAGGATTTAATAATTAGCATGTAGGTAATTGAGTGGAATGAATTAACACTAAATTCATAATAAGCTTTAAATGAAGGTAATTGGTAATGTGACCTTCCATTTAGAGAATCATCCTAAATCCCTTCTTGAAATAATAGCAGTACCTCTTCTGAAAACTCATTGTAACAGAGAAAGCTAAATACATCTTGAGCAGTGAAAAAGGAGGAAATTTATTTCTTTGAATACAAACATAGTAATTACATGTCTTGCCTATCAAATACTATGTTACATAATTAATATAGTAGTAAAATTGAGTAAATGAAAGGCTAGAGTACTTTTTAAAAAGCCCATTACATAAAAAGCTCCATTAACTTTCAAAACATTACAATAATAAATGGGGAAAGAACAATATTGGGTAGTAATGAAAACAATCCCAGTAATATTCATGGAAATTTAGAGCATTTTTATTCATGAGAATCTTATAAAAATAGATTATAAATACCTTGATTATCAGTTCAGAAAGAAATTATTTTATTGATTACTTATTATTTCTGTGCTCAGGACAGCAAAATATATCATTACCCTAAGCTTAGTAATAACCGTATATGTCCTATAGGAGTTTTATAGCCTACAGATAAAGAAAATGGGAGAAAACATGAACTTGGGCCAGTGGTTGTAAACTGGTGGTTCAAGAACAGTTTTTACTTACATATGTGTTTTAACCTTCACAGTATTTTTGAAAATGTTGAATGAGTTGCCAAGAACAGGTTATATTTTAAAAATCTAGGTTTTCATCTTCTCTTGAAAAAATAGGGTGTGTGAATGTATTGAGCCTTCTTGCACAACAACTATCCAATATAATAAAACCCTAATATGCCCTAACCGGTTTGGCTCAGTGGATAGAGCGACAGCCTGCGGACTCAAGGATCCCAGGTTTGATTCTGGTCAAGGGCATGTACCTTGGTTGCAGGCACATTCCCAGTAGGGTGTGCAGGAGGCACCTGATCGATGTTTCTCTCTCATCGATGTTTCTAACTCTCTATCCCTCTCCCTTCCTCTCTGTAAAAAATCAATAAAATATATTTAAAAAAACAAAAAACAAAAAAACCCCTAATATGCAAATAGACCAAATGGCAGAATGACCGGTCACTATGACAGGCACTGATCACCAGGGGGCAGATGCTTAATGCAGGAGCGTCCACAGGGGGAGTGCCGCTGAGCTAGAAGCTGGGCTCATGGCTGGTGGTGCAGTGGTGGTGGCAGTAGCCTCTCCCGCCTCTGCTGCAGGTGGGCAGTAAGGAGTGAGGGGTCCCCAGACTGCCAGAGGGTACGAGCTGGGCTGAGGGACACTCGCCCCCCTAATGCACGAAATTTTGTGCACCGGGCCTCTAGTCAACTATAACAGTGATCTCCTTTTAATGGAATGTTCTGTCTCTCACTTATCATTGTCTTCACCACCCAGTTGGCTTCTCTCTTTTACTCCACATACCTTCACTCTGCAGCAACCTGTGTCTACCTTAGGCATGTCATTTCAATCTTTCTGCCTTATATTCTTTATAAGAAGTAGTCAGCTTTATTTCAAAGAGAAATTTTAGCAAAATAATTAGAATAAGACCAAAGTGTTTTTAACTTCATAAAAGGAAGATTGAACAGGAAGTATTCTTCTTACGTCATATTTTTAATCAATAGTTGCATATTTATAAGTCACTTTTTTCATGTGCTGTTTTGAATGAAATATATCCATATTTATTGCTACTTTTCAATATATTATGAGGTTATGACATGTACTTTGCTTGTTTTAAATGGCTATTATTCATACCTATCTTTTATGTCAACCTTAAAAAATACAAATTTCAATGGCAAAATGAAAATGCTCAAGTTATTATATATGTTCACAAAATAATATTAGATATTATTTTAACTATTCAATTTTAAAACTATAATTAATTTTATCTTTGATTTGCTAGTCTGATAACAATTTATCTCCACATTAAAGCCATAGTCACGGAATATGATATGTTTAAAAACAGGTACAAATAGTTTTATTTTACAACTACCATGTCCCTGCTAACATAGGAGAGTTTTTGTATCGGCTTCCATAACAAGTTACATATGTTGTAGAAATTCTGATTTGTCATATAAGGTAATAGTTTCAAGCCTCCTTAAGCTTTATTTCCTCGGTTCATTTTTTAAAAACAGTTTTTATTTCATTCATTTGCTTCAATATTCAGGTACCTCCACTGTGATCCCTTTTGACCGTAAAGATATTGTAAACATATATTGGAAACACTTAAAATTTTTAAACTTGAAAACTACTTAGCAGGACCTTCATTGAGTTGAACAAGGAATGAAAATAAACATGAAATTTTAGCAAGAGGAAAGAAACCTACACATCCAGGGATATAGTCAGGGAATGATGTCTATATGAATTGTACATTTGCTATGGGGAATATTGAATCACTGTCTCATAGGAGAAGCAATCCATTTATTTCTTTTGTACTGCATTTGTCCAGGTGGAATGAAACCTTGTGCATTAAACTGCTTGGCTGATGGCTACAACTTCTACACTGAACGTGCCCCCGCAGTGATTGATGGGACTCGGTGCAATATGGATTCACTGGATATCTGTATCAACGGAGAATGCAAGGTTGCTTAAATGATCACTAGAGGCCTGGTGCACAAAATTCATGCGGGGGAGGGGGTGGGGTCCCTCAGCTCAACCTGCACCCTCTCCAATCCGGGACCCCTTGGGGGATGTCCGACTGCCTCTCTCAATCAGGGACCGCTGGCTCCTAACTGCTCTCCTGCCTGCCTGCCTGATCACCCCTGGCCCCTCTGCCTGCCTGCCTGATCACCCCTAACTACTCCCCTACCAGCTTGATCGCCCCTAACTGCTCCCCTGCTGGCCTGATTGCCCCTAACTGCCTCTGCCTCACCCCGCAGCACCTGGGACCCAGGATTCCCTCCTCCAGCTGGTCACAGACACCTGGGACTGGGCTTCCCACCCTCTGGCCAGCTGCAGGCACCTAGGACCTGGGTCAGCTTTGCTTGGGCTGGCTGCAGCCGCAGGGGACCGTGAGCAGGTGACTTCGCCCTGGCCAGAGCCGCAGGTGCCCAAGACCATGGGGCTGGTGGCTTGTCCCTCTCCAGGGTCACAGGCACTGGCACCTGGGACCACAGTGTGGGTGGCTTGTCCCTCTCCTGGTCCTCAGGCACAGGCACTGACACCCAGGACCGCAGGCCGGGTGGCTTGTCCCTCTTCTGGCCTGCAGGCACAGGCACTGGCACCCAGGACTGCGGGCCGGGTGGCTTGTCCCTCTCTCAGGCCACAGGCGCAGGCACAGCTGCTGGCTCCTGGGACCGCAGGGACCATGGTGCATGCGGATTGTCCCTCTCCTAGGCCGCAGCCCCAGCTGCTGGCGTCCAGGATCATGGGACGGGTGGCTTGTCCCTCTCCCGGGCCCCAGCCCCAGCTGTTGGCACCCGGGACTGCAGGGCGTGTGGCTTGTCCCTCTCCCAGGCCACAGCCTGGCTGGTCCCCATTCCTCTCTCGCGAGCTCATTTGTGCCTGGCTGGTCCTCATTCCTCTATCCCCAGTGTTGAGTGTCTGAGGTGTATGGCATGACCGCGTAAGGATGTGATGACCATTTGCATGTTAGCTCCTTATTATATAGGGTTTTATTTCTTGTTTTTGTTTTATTTTAAAGAGTAGTGCAAAGCTAAGTCCCAGAAAGAAAGAAGATATAAAAACATTGTCTATTTTACTTAGTCTCATAATTTCTTACAAAAGTTTCTGTCCTTCTGGCTACTAGCCTCCAAATGTATCTGATAGCCCAGTGTGTGTGTGTGTGTGTGTGTGTGTGTGTGTGTGTGTGTATTTACTTGAAGAAAAGGTTATTTCTGTGACAATATTAAAATTCTTTTTAGATAATAAAAACCCAGGTACAGGTTACTAGTATATTCAGAGATTACATGCCTGATATCAATGGCTAAATGTCAAATATACAAATTTAAGTTCCAAAATTTGGACCAAAAATATATAAGAATCCACATCTCTGTGGTTCAGTGAAAGACAGAATGGTAGAGTTTATGGCAATTTTATTCAGCCAGTGGGTACAGGTATTCATTTTTAAAGATTTACCCACTCATGATTTCCACAACCAATCCTTGACTCTAACAATTGGATAATCCAAAAGGGCTAGTGATTGAGAAAGGACAAAATGTCATGCCCAGTCAAGACTCTTGCTGTTATAACCTTGTATAGGACTAAATGCCATTTTTCTCAGTTCTTGAATGTATTGGTTTGGGGTATAAGTAAGAGTCCATTGCTAACAAATTATAATATTTTAAGAATTGAAGCATGGTATCTATAAATAATTAAATCTAGGTTGGAAATACAGACATCCATTCCTGGGGAATCAGAATTTTTTTTCTTTAAACTTATGTGTTGAGAAATGTTAGCTAGAACTTATTGGAGAGTGAAGGTAAAAGTGGAGAGAGGAAAATATTTCTTGTTTTTATTTCCTTTACTGGAAAAACAAGTAAATAAATACGCTATATTTATTTGCTTAGTAAGAATTCCTTTTTTTTTCACACACTGAATATTCTTCTCTGTTTGCAGCATGTAGGTTGTGATAATATTTTGGAATCCAGTGTTAGGGAAGATAAATGCCGAGTCTGTGGAGGGGATGGGAGCACATGCGATGCCGTTGAAGGGTTCTTCAATGAGACGTCACCCAGAGGAGGAGGTGAGTGTGTAGAGAGAACTCTTCCTCACGCCTCTGTGTGCTTGGAATAGGCAACACATTTGATCACCACCACCACCCCTTATTTTAAAATTTCATTATTTAGGCAGACATTGCTCCCCACCCCCCAAATTACTTTCAGTCTTTTAAAGTATTAAATATGGCTTCACATAAGATATTTATTTTATTTTTTTATTGTCTAAAGTTTTACATATGTCTTCTTTAACCGCAGTTGACTCCCTCCCCATTGCTGTTGTTTAATACCCGACTCGGTGGTATCTTCCATGTGTAGATGTACCACAGGTTTTTAATCCACTCTTCTGCTGATGGGCACTTAGGCTGTTTCCAAATCTTAGCTATTGTAAATTGTGCTGCTATGAACATAGAGGTGCATATATCCTTTCTGATTGGTGTTGCTGGTTTCTTGGGATATAGTCCTAGAAGTGGGATTACTGGGTCAAATGGGAGTTCCATTTTTAACTTTTTAGGAAACTCCATACTGTCTTCCACAGTGGCTGAACCAGTCTGCATGCCCTCCAACATTACAGGAGAGTTCCTATGTAAGATATTTTAAGTAAATATTATTTCCTTTCTACTTGACTTCATTTTGCCATGTTTCTTTAAGATATGAATTTCCACAGTAGATTGATGTGTGGGCTACGGTTGAGAAAATAAAATGAACCAATATTGTACATGTTGAAGGTATTTTAGAGGAAAAGAAAAATACTCTAGAGGTATTCATTAACCCAAAGGGGAATTTGCCCATATTTCATAATTTGTATAGTGAAAAGCCGAAGAAAGCATGGTAGAATAAGGAAAATCATTACTGAATGGTTATTAAACACTCATTTTCTGGCTGAGGCTACAGAATCTACTTACACTGGCTGTCTTCTGTGGTCCAGGCTACCTGACAGTTGTGCAGATACCAAGAGGTTCTGTTAATATTGAAGTCAGAGAAGTTGCCGTGTCACCTGCCTATATTGGTGAGTAGCATATTTTGGTAGATTTCAAAAATTAAGGAGAAGGGATAGCACAATATCATGAAGGAAAAGACATACTGCTTTGCCAAATAGAGACAGACTGAGAGAGCAGGCAGACAGCTATGGAGTTTGGGGCAGGGGTGTGTGCGGAGGGATTGAGAAGAAAAAGTAGAGAACTCATGGACATGGACAACACTGTGGTGATTGAGGGTGAGGGTAGGGGGTGAATGGAGGTGAAGAGGGCATAAAGGGATAAATAGTGATGGAAAAAGAAAAAACGGACATACTGCTTTGAGATGGAATACTTTCATGCTAAAATGAAATTACAAGTCTTATAGGACCACATGTAAGAACTAAACACAAAAATTAGTAGTTTATAGCTTACTCTTCACTGAGTTGCCTATTTGATTTTTAAAATCAATGTTATTGGGGAATAATTTATATATAATGAAGTATATCCATTATAAGTATACAGTTGAAAGAGTACTGACATTATTTATATGTATATATAACACAGCCACAATGTAGATCATTTCTGACTCTAAAACATCCTCTTCTTTGCTTTTGCAGTTAAATGCCCCTAGCCTTAGCCTCAGGCAAACATTGATCTTTTATCTGACATGTATTTCATTATATTCCTGGAATTTAACATAATGGGATAATACAGTATATACTTATGTATAGCTTTTTTAACTCAGCATAATGTTTTTGAGATTCATCTATATTGTTGAGTGTATCTGAAGTTCACTCTTTTTTATTACTAAATAATATCCTAATGTATGGATATATCATAATATTTTTATCCACTCACTTAAGAATATTTGGGTCATTTTTAGTCTTTGACCATTATGAATAAAGTTTCTTTGAACATTTATAGACAAGCTTTGTGTGGACATATATTTTCATTTCTCATAGATAAAAGCCTAGGAGTGAAATGGTAAGGTTATATGATAAGTACATGTTTAACTTTATAAGAAATTACTAAACTGTTTTCTAACATGGTTGTATTATTTATATTCCCACCAATAATGTAGACGAGTTCCAAATGCTCCCTTCCTTTTCAAAATTATTTTGCCTATTTAAAATTTTTTATTAAATTATGAGTCCTTTATGTATTCTATACAAGTCTTTGTTCAAATACATGTTTTATGAATACTTTCTCCCAGTCACTGGCTTATCTATTTTCTATCCTTAAATGGTGTCTTTTAATTTGCATGAAATCTAATTTGTTAAATTTTTTTATTGTTTGGGCTTTCATGTCTTACCTTAGAAATTGTGCCTACCTTAAGGTTGCAAATATTATCTTCAATGTTTCCTTAAGAAATTATAGTTTTAGCTTTTACATTTAGGTAGATGGTCCATTTTGAGTTTTTATATAAGGTATAAAGTAAGGGTTGAGGTTCAATTTTTTTATATGGATATTCAATTACTATAACACCATTTGTTGAAAAGACTATTATTTCTTAAATCGAAAGATCAAATTCACCTTGTTTTCCTTCTTGCATATATCACAGTCCTGCCCTGTCCTGGCCAATGTCTAAGAACAGCTAATTCACATGTTTTGTGAATTTTCTAGTTGTTTACAGTTGAAGGGCAAATCTAGTACCAGTTATTTCAACAGGGAAAGAAGTGGATATTCTACTTATTTGATGTTTGATCTTTTAAAACAGATTTAGGTTCTCCAGAGACCCCTAGTGAGGCCTGGATGAGTTCTTATGTCCTTTAACATATCATTGCCTTTTCATTAAGTCTTTAAAAAATAAGATGACATCCAGAATACATCTTTGGATAGAACACCAGTATAATCAGGCTTTTCCTTTATTCAAGAAGAGCCCTTTATTTTTGCATCATAATTTTGGAATCAGCAAGACTCAAAACAAAAATAAGACTTGTAACATTAATTTTTTTCCCTTGGATAATTCTCTGTCCATAATACCACATCCTCCTCCCCTAGTAAATTACCCAGTACTTGTTAAATGCTCAGTGTTTTCTGAACTACATTATGGTACCAGCAAAAATGTGTTAGCTGAATAGTTGGGTAAATGGAAAGTGAGAGCTCAAATTGAAGGAGACTACAAAGCTGCTGGCGGAGGGGGGGTGGTCTGGTTTTATTTTTTATTTTACTAGTTCATATTATACAGGTTCAGACGTCCTTATTTAACATAAGTAATTCTGATATTTTATTTTATTTTTAATAGATTTTATTGATTTCTTACAGAGAGGAAGGCAGAGGGATAGAGAGTTAGAAACATTGATGAGAGAGAAACATCAATAAGCTGCCTCCTGCACATCTCCTACTGGGGATGTGCCCACAACCAAGATATATGCCCTTGACTGAAATCGAACCTGGGACCTTTCAGTCCGCAGGCCGACGCTCTATCCACTGAGCCAAACCGGTTAGGGCTGATATTTTAAATGAAACAGAAAACCACTGTGAGAATTGAAAAGAACAAATTTTAAATACAAGAAAAATTTAAAACTAAATAATCCTTAAAATTGGTTGACATGTTCTTATCTTAAAAGGTTAATTAGATTTGTTTTTGACAAATGAATCATCATAACATATCTGAAGTCAAGAAAATACAAGTAAATGTGCCAGTCAGATTGGAGTGGGGGCATGAAAATGGTCTGTACTGTTAAGGACAAGTGGTAGAGGTCCAGAGAGGCAGAGACTGCACCATGACCTTTATATATAGTCTTTTTGGGCTGCTTCTGTTTTTGTTTTTGTTTTTCCCCATTAGAGAGAGTGGAAGGGAGGGAGGGAGAAAGAGAGAGGAACATTGATGTGAGAAGACACATCGATTGGTTGCTTCCTACATGCGCCCAACCTGGGCCTGAGGAAACCTGCAACCCAGGTATGGACCCTTGACCAGGAATGGAACCCTAGACCCTTTGATGCTGGAGCCGACATTCCAACCAGTGAGCAACACAGGCCAGGGTGAGCTGCTTGTTTATCTGGCCCAATAAATTAAAAAAAAATTTTTGTAAGAGAACATTTATTGGGTAAATTACAGAGGTAGACAAAGTAATTCCTAGAAGAAATGGGTTTAGGAAATGAGTTATGGATGTGAAAGAAGAAGCTAAAATAATAACAAAATACTTAAACTGCCATGTTTGTCATTATGAAATCATGTAATCATTATCAAAATCATCACTGTATTTTTCTCTTTAAAAATTTTTTTTATTGAATTTATTGGGTAGCATTGGTTATTAAAATTATATTTTATTAATAAATAAAGGTATATCTTATTAAGTTTCAGGCGTACAATTCTATAATACATCATCTGTGTATTATATTATATAGATGTGTGTTTACCACACCAAGTCAAGTCTCCTTCCATCACCATTTATCCCCTCTATACCCTTTTTTACCTCCCCTTCACCCCCTTTTTCCTCTGGTAATCACCATGCTGTTGTCTGTGTCTATGAGGTATTTTTTCCCTTTGCTTAATCCCTTCACCTTTTTCACCCAGTTTCCCAATACCCCCTCCTCTGACCACTGTCAGTCTGTTCTCTGTATCTATGAGTCTGTTTCTATTTTGTTTGTTAGTTTATTTTGTTTGTTAGATTACACATATATGTGAAATTGTATGGTACTTGTCTTTGTCTGACTGCCTTATTTCACTTAACATGATACTCTCTAGGTCCACCCATGCTGTCACAAAAGGAGTAATATTCCATTGTGTATGTGAACCACACCATTTTTTCTTATCAGTAGTGCCAATAACCTTTTTCTGCCAATAGTTTTAAATGTTTTTAATGCATTTTTAATATAGGTCTTAAAATTATGTATGCATATTTATTAATCCTTTCCTTTATATTTTCTGTGGGTTTTGTCATACTTAAAAAAGCTTTTTATATCCCAGTGTTACTTTTTAAAAGATCTGCCATGTTTTCTCCAAGCATTTTATGATTCAACTGTTTAATTTCAAAGATTTACCCATCTGGCATTTATTCTTTCTCTCTTTTTAAACCATTTTTTTAAATTGAGGTTTAATTTACATAAAATAGAACTCAACCATTTAAAAGTGAACAATTTAGTGGCATTGGTACATTCCAAAATATTTTCATCACCCCAGAAAGAACCTTGTGTCCATTAAGCAGTTACTCCCCATTCCTCAACCCCTGGTAACCATCAATCTGCTTTCTGTCTCTATTGGATTTACCTATTCTGGATATCCTATCTAATAAAAGAGGTAATATGCAAATTGACCATCACTCCAACACACAAGATGGCCACCCCCATGTGGTCAAAGATGGCTGCCACAAGATGGCTGGCAGGGGAGGGCAGTTGGGAGCAACCAGGCCTGAAAGGGAGGGCAGTTGAGGGTGACCAGGCCAGCAGGGGAGGGCAATTAGGGGTGACCGAACCTGCAGGGGAGGGCAGTTAGGGGGAACCAGGCCTGCAGAGGTGGGAAGTTAGGAGCAATCGGGCCAGCAGGGGAGGGCAGTTGGGGGTGACCAGGCCTGCAGGGGACAGTTAGGGGCGACCAGGCCTGCAGGGGAGGGCTGTTGGGGGTGACTAGGACTGCAGGGGAGGGCTGTTGGGGGTGACCTGACCTGTAGGGGAGGGCAGTTGGGAGTGATCAGGCTGGCAAGGGAGGGCAATTAGGGGTGACTGGGCCAGCAGGGAGGGCAGTTAGGGGCAATTGGCTGGCAGGGTAGTGGTTAAGGGCAAGCAGGCAGGCAGGCAGGTGAGTGGTTGGGAGCCAGCAGTCCTGGATTCTGAGCGGGACGTCCCAGATTGGAGAGTGGGCAGGCTGGGCTGAGGGACACGCCCCCCCCCCCGCGCACAAATTTTGTGCACTGGGCCTCTAGTTTCATATAAATGGCAGTTTACAATATGTGACTTTTTCTGTCTAGCCTTTTCCATTTAGCATAATGTTTTTGAAATTCATAACCATTGCAACATATATTAGTACTTCTTTTAATGGCAGAATAATATTTCATTGTATTGTGTATACCACAAATTGTTTATTCTTTCATCCATTGATGGACAATTGAGTTGTTTCCACTTTTGGTTATTGGGAATAGTGCTACTATAAACATGTATGTACAAATATTTTTTTGAGTACCTATTTTCATTTCTTTTAGATATGTACCTAAGAGTGGAATTGTGGTACTTATAACAAACAAAATATAAATTCATCATCATCATCATCATCATCATCATAATGCTGAATTTATTATTTGCCAAGTGGCTAGTCTTTTGTCTTAGTTTCATATCTTGTTATCTTTTTTTAAACTAATTTAAGATGCTTCTTTTGTCGTATACTTTAAGATGCTTTGTTATTTTTTTCTTTATTGATTGTTATTTCTTAACTGTCTGTTTGGTTGCGTTGTTGTCTGTCTGGGTGCCAGTACTATAGTTTCTCCCACCCCATATTCATATAATTACTTTTTAATATTTAGACAGGAAAGTCTGTTTCCTCCATCTCTCCTATTCCTAGTTATTTCTTTTGTCATACTTTTCCTTGCTAGTTCCATATGTTTATTTCTCCAGGTAACATTTTATTCCTCTCTATCAATGACATCATAAATCAGCCGTGGGCAAACTACGGCCTGTGGGCTGGATCCGACCCGTTTGAAATGAATAAAACTAAAACTATAAAAACAAAAAAAGACCGTACCCTTTTATGTAATGATGTTTACATTGAATTTATATCAGTTCACACAAACACTCCATCCATGCTTTTGTTCCAGCCCTCCGGTCCAGTTTAAGAACCCATTGTGGCCCTCGAGTCAAAAAGTTTGCCCACCCCTGTCATAAATACTTAATATCTTCTTGGCATTCACATGGAAATTACCATTTTAAGTTTTACTTTAGAAAATAGTCAAGAATTCCATCTCTAAATGGAAATGAATATTCATTGAATATTCATTGAATACTTCAGTGCAGTTATTTACCAGTGACACTGTGGTAAATGAAGTTTCATATTTTTAGGTGTACTGTGATTTTTTTTTTAGCTTTAAAATCTGAATCAGATGAATACTATCTTAATTGTGGTTGGACTATTGACTGGCCTAAGAAATTTGATGCTGCTGGGACAACTTTTCGCTACAAGAGACCAACTGATGAACCAGAATCCTTGGTAGCTCCAGGTCCCACCACGACAAATCTCATTGTCATGGTAAATGTGTCTTTGCCTCTTTATTTTCTCTGCTTTATAGATAAATTAGGTAAATAAAGGTGAAATGGTTTGCCCAAGTGTTTAAAATCCTTGTAAAGTTAAAGCCAGAGTGCTCTCCCATATGAATGTTTGACCATTTCATTGCTTAGTTGAATAATGTTTTTATAACCAGACAAGGTAGATGAAAGAAATGACTCTAAATTACCTATGAAAATGGAAGGAGAAAATTCAAGATAAGTGCATGTGTTCTAAAAGTTATCTTAAATTTCTTATAAGGCTTACTTTATGGCATTATCTTCTTCAAAAGAAATACTAAGTATCTGAATGAAGGCTCATTGTATTTTAATTATCTTCACCAGTTGTTTTCAATGGCAGGTTCTTTATCAAGATACGTATGAGGGAATTACGTATAAGTTCAATGTTCCTATCACTCGGACTGGCAGTGGAGACAGTGATATTGGCTTTACCTGGAATCATCAGCCTTGGTCAGAATGCTCCACTACTTGTGCTGGAGGTAAGACAACCACTAGGCCGCCCACCCAGAGGGCGGCATGGAAAGCAAAACATGTTGTGAGCTATGCCTTGTGTTTGCTAAAGAAGCTAATTGGAAACATTTCTTGCAGGTTTGCTCCAAGCTGTAATTTAGCAAAAGAAACTTTGCTTTAATTATATTATATTCCATTTGTTTTTAACCTCATGTAATTTGTACAGATTTGTTGGTAAAATACATCTTGGCACAATGAGTGTCTCTGCTGATGCTTCTCCCAAGACTAACTTGAAGGTGGGCTATTTGCTTTTCGTGAACACATTCTTGGTAAAGAACATCAAGAGTTTTAAATAAGAAAATGGGCAAGAATCAGGTGGCACAGATACAGCTTCTTGTAATGGGGCATGAGAATGTATGTCCGTGTGCTTGTGTGTTTGTGTGCTTGTGTGTTTCCCATTATCGTACGCAATCTCCCTTCTCCTGCCATCAAAGTTAAGGGGCTCTTTACCAGGATACTACAATCATTACTGGTGTCTGGGTCTCTGGGTTAATGGTGTATCCTGACCCCCAGTATAGTCCCTCAGAGAGGTAGCTGCTAGGCGGTGGTTGGTGATGTGTTGGTTGTCCCATGTGCTTTTTTCATGGGTGCCTTTTCCCCACAATTTACTCTATTCCTAATCCTCCTCCCTCTAGTGGCCACCAATGCAATTCTTTACCTCTGGCTGGGAGAGCAGGACAGTTGGCTTCCTTCAAAGCCAACACCTTTGCTGCTGCATGGACTGGTGAGTAGAAGTGCTGTGCAAGCAGCATCTTCATTCTCTCTGGAGACTAAATGCATCGCCTCCACCGTACACCTGATTGCAATAGGCAGAGGAACAATCCTATCCTTCAGGCCTACGCTAGACTAAAGCGCCTCACCATTCTGAAAGCAAAGACTAAATTTTGAGTAGTTATATTTAGAATGGGAGAAATTGAAATAAAATGAATGATCCCATTTTACCCCATATTCCAATGTATTACCAATTTTTCTTTTCTAAACTTCTTGGAAACCTATCACTTAACGTGAACTTTATCCAATCTTGTCCTATACTCAGTGAATCTCTGATGCCTCTGATTTGCAAGGATTAAATCAGAGAAATTATTTTCACAGAAATGAATTTCATATAATAAATTTAGTATTTTTGGACTCATGCAGAAGTAAATTATTAACTACAACTCCAAATTCAGTAGTAAGCACTGTCTAAAATAAAAAAGCAAATAATAATAATAATAATAATAATAATAATGTTTTCTTCTGTGTGAAGTGTCATGAAACATGGTATGTATAATTTGTGGCATATTTTTAAAAATTTCTAATTCCCATCCATTTTATGTGTGAAATGGTTGGTGATTTGTAATGTAAAGATATAAAAAGTATAGGACATTACTGTTTTTTTAAATAAAATAAAGGATATTTAAAATGAATGATTCAAGTGAATGCCAGTGTATTATTCGTTAGTGGCATTTATACATATAGATTTCTTCCAATTAAATTCCTTTTTTATTCAATCGATACTTTCCCCTTAACAGTACATACATAAGTCAGGTCCTAGGTAAGATGAGATAAACTTATTTAAAAAGAGTTAAAATCATTTAAAGTTTAGGAAATCTAATGAGGATAGTCTAAGTGTTGAGGTTGATAACTTAGAGAAAAGAAGGCTGAGGGAAAGTGTATCTTCAAGTATGTGACAGAAAGTTGAATGGCAAATTCTTAGGGTCTATTCGTCTTTGTACTAAAAATTGCTATATTTGGGGATGATTTAGACATAGTTTTGTCTGAGGACAACGAGGGATTAAATGAATTCTCAATGTTCCTTCTAACCCTATGATTCTTTTGTTCAAAAAGGGGATAGTCCAACAAAAAAAGGAGAAAAATAGGTCATGAAAAGTGAATTTAAAAGAAAAGCCTTGATTTTCTTAAAGAAATATGAAAAATCTAAATGAGTGTTGTTCTTTTCCATAGCACTTGTATTGAGAAATCATATTAGAAGAGTAACTTCTTGTGATAAGTGATAAATCAAAAGAAAAGGAGGGCGAAAAGCCCCTGGAAAGAGAATTTTCTTTTCTTTGTTATTTATACTTCTCTTTTCTCTCTGAAGTTACTAATCAGAGATATTTGAGGTGGTTCTGGGAATTGGAATAGTGCTCAGTTGTAAGTGATTGTGACAGCATTCATGGGGTCATTGCCTTCTTTGGAAGAGAGATGTACAGTACTTGAAAGTTGGCAGGCTTAGTGTGAAGAGCTCCCATTTGTCTTGGTAAGTGGATCTCAAAGTGTGGTCCCTAGACCAGCAGCATCAACATCACTTGAGAATTTATTAGAAATGCTAATTTTGGGACCCTATCTCAAACCCACTGAATAGGAACTGTCTGGATGGAGCACAGCAATCTATGTTTTAGCAAGCCTTCCAGGTGCTTCTGATGCTTGGTCAGTTTGAGAACCACTGGTCTTGGTTGACAGAGAAATTTAAAGCCTAGCACTCTAGACACATAGGATCCACACCCTCATCATTGAAGTCTGTGCATCTCTCTAGATTCTTTTGCACCTACAACAATGTCTGGCACATATTAGGCACTCAATAAATATTTGTAGAAGAGTGAATGAACAAAAGGAATTATTTTGGCAATTATATATTTGTTCTAGTTCTTCCCAGTGTGGAAAATGAGAGCTTATAATTGCTGTTTTTCTCATGAGGTGGAGCTAAAGGATTGCCACAAAGACACAATATAATTTTGGTTAGCATGGATGAGTAAAATCAAGCTCCTCTCTTTTGTTTTATTTACTCTGAATAGGTGGGAAATATTTCCTATGATACAGAATACCAATATCAATTATTGGAGTTATTTCTACTTACACATACCCCCAATTTTTAACCCCCAAGTTCTTTAAATACAGGAAGCATATGATTGAGGAAATCTTTTGAGACTTGGAAATCTTGATCAAAGAGGGAACCAGTTATCTGCTTGGTAGTAGTAAATGGAACTTCATCTACTGTTAAGGAATCTTCCAGGAAAAAGTCAGTTCTACTGAGTTTTTTTACTAAGTAACTAAGGATGAATACTAAAGTTAGTTCTCAATTGGTATACTTCACTCTAGTCTTTCCAGGGTGGTGTTATGTGTCTTAAGGCTGTCAAAATCTTTTTAAATGGAAAAAGAGAAAACAAGATCTCAAAGAACTTTCTATTGCAATCTTACAAGACGCCTCAATGTTCTTACCTATTGCTAACCTGCATGTTTTATTAATGGAAGATCTTTGGACTTTGTGTTTGAGAGCAATATTGATAGTTTTTTCTTGTGAGATCTTTGAAGATAAGAAGTTTTGAGACTGTTTTTCGGTTGCTTAGCAGACGCAATGACAAATCTAATGCTTCAGGAAACATTGCTGGTGATTAAGTCCAAGTAACGGTCTTTTCTCTGAGTCAGTGATGAAACACTTCCTTAGCCTGAATGAAAACATAGACATGCTATGGGGTATTGTCTTCAGGATAAATGTGATTTTTAAGATACAGTTTTAACTCTTCCTCTGAGTAAAACCCAAGCCCATGAATTAAAAGTTAGCTATTTTCTGAACCGTTGTTACTTCAAATAGAGTTTTTGGTTTTTTATTTCTTATCCAAACTATTGAATGCTCTGTAGTTTATCTGACTCCCAAATTTATATACTACCATTATATTCATGATTAATGTGTCAATTGATAAAGGTTGGCTGGGCAGTAAGAATTGTATTATTTTAAAATACAAAGATTTAGGAGTGTTTTTTATCTACTAGTAATTTATGCCAGTATGCCTTTGCACTCTGACTTCTAAAGCTTCAAATAACAAATACTGTACACTCATCCTTTGATTTTAGTCATACATATTCCATTTTTATTAATGCTTGGCTAGATATGGGATTCTCAGATTTTAGTGTGCATCAACATTACCTAGAGGGTTTGTTCAAACAAGATTGCTAGGTTCTGCCTTCAGGTTCTGATTTGGTGGGTCTGGCATAGATTCCAAGAATTTGCATTTCTGACAAGTTTCCAGTGATGCTGCTGCTACTGGTTCAGAAACCAGACTTTGAGAATCATTGGGTTAGACACATAGGTTTTATCAAGCTAATGTCTATTAACACAAAGTGATAAATCTTTTAGGTAATAATCTACATTATAGTTGTAATCCACATTACAACTAGTCTTTTTAATGATAAATGGTTCTACAATTGAGCTCTGTAATAATAAATACAATTTTATAGTTTGAAAAACATTTTCTGGTGCCCTGTTTCATTTGGTCATTCTTGGCAGCACCATGAGGTAGACATTGTTATTATTATTTCTATTTTGTAGGTAAAACTCAAGTGAAGTAACTTGCTGAAATTAGGAATTAGAAATTGAGTCTCTAGTGATTTTTAAAATGTAGCATTTACTTTCTTAATAAAAATGGTCTTTACCTTGAACAGAGCGTTTTCACTAGTTGGCAACCTCAACAGAGCCACATGATGTATCCCCATTTAAAAATAGCTTCTTCACTAAGCTTGAAAATTCATTGTTTCAAATGCTTTCCCTAAAGCAATGGATCTCAACTGTGGCTGCACATTGGAATTACTGGAGAACTTTAAACAATTCTGTGTTTGGCACCGCCCTTAAATATTCTGATTTAATTCCTTAAGAGTGTGGCCTGGGCATCAGATTTTTAAAAGCTCCCTAGGTAATTCTAATGCACAGCTAAGGTTGAGAAGAGCTGCCTTAGAGGTTGATTGAAAGTTTATTTATTTTTCAAATGATTTACATTCAGATTCAGTTACCTCTGGGACCATTTCTAACTCACATCTCTTATTAATTGGCTACTAGTTGACTGTAGTGGTTAATGAGATTTGGGTATAAGTATTTGGAATGGGAAAGTATAGAGGATCACCAGAGAAGGGAATGAAAAAGATGGCAGGATGCCAATTAATTTCATAATTTGTTTGTGTGGGCATTGGCCTTGGACATGCATTTGGAAAGCTTTTT